AGCAACTGAGTCTCTAGCCTTCCTGGGTCTAAGAGTAAAAATTCAACCCTTCAGGGAGGACAGTTGTAAGCTGAGTTCCAAAAAGGTATTATTCTGATAGCTATAGCCAATATGGATTCAGGTGGAAGCCCCAAAACCCAAGAATACCACAAAATATAATTAAAGTGGTTTATTAAGAGAATGTGCAGGAATATACAATATAAGAGCAGTGAACAGCGAGGGTAAAACATTAAAGCTAAATAGCTAACCTAAGCACATTTACAAGCATTGGTTCTAAATCCAGCTGTTACTTGGAAGGACTGAGTCCAACAGAGTTTCAAAGTCCAAAGCAGGGGCTAGTTGACCGATCAAGTTGATTCTAGTTGACCAATCAAATGTATAGCAAATGATGTAACTTGTGTTGCTGACCAGGTGACCCAACCAATCAGATGAGCCACCATAATGAGACCATATACTCTGCAACTGCATAGGGCCTAATCAAGCATGCACCTTCCCCACCCCTGGGTCCTTGCACTAAGGAGATGGAATATGTAGGCCAAACTCCCTCCTAGATTCATCAGCCTTGAAACCATAGGCTTAATGGTCTGATGTGCATCTGTGCCAGCCTCCCTTATTCCTTATCTCACCTTTTGAAGCTACAGTCAGCTTGACCTCAGGTTCTCAGAGAGAGAAGCTTCCATGTTTTTTACAAGGCCAGGCTCAGCCTGAACCAGTGTTTCTGAATATACAAGAGGTTGCTAGCTGAGCAAGTCTCTTGACAATGATGACTAATGGTGGGACATAACAGAAATGTATAAAATGATGCCCAGGGTAAAAAGTAGATAGAGAGAACTTTTTCTCTGTCTTCCATGATACTAGAACTTGGCAGACAACTGGTGAAGTTGGTGTGGAGTAGTTTCAGGACAGATGAATGGAAGTCCTCCTTTACTCAGTGGTTGGCTCGTATAATTCACTGTTGTGAAATGGAGATATGGCCACTTGTTCAGTTGGTTTTAACAGGGGATGATACAAATGTATAGAGGACAGGTCCATCAGTAGTTATTAGTCACAATGACTGGATGAAACCTCCATGTTCAGAGGCAGTAACCTTCTGAATACCAGTGTGTGTGGGATGGGTAACAACCAGGGAGACTTTATCCTTTATGCCATGGTTGTAGCCCTTCTGGGGACATATAGTGTCCCACTATGTGGAATTGGTTGCTGTATTAGATCCATGTTTTAATAGTTCTTTGGCCATCTCATAAACAAATCTCCGAAGTCAATAATTGAATCCTAGAGTTGGAAGGGGCCATAGGCCATATAGTACACACACATACCCTGGTTCATGCAGGAAATCCAAATCTAGAACATTTCTGACAGATGGCTGTCCATTCTCTGTTTGAAGACTGTTGGTGAGGAACAACCTCATCCTCAGCTAACAGGTTCCATTGTTCAACTGCTCTGTTAGGAAGTTTCTCCTGACATTCAACAACAGTCTTCTTCCTATAACTGAAGCATGTGAGATATAGTCTTGGCCTCTTGAGCAGTGGAGAACAAGTCTTTCCCCCCATGAAAGCCCTTCAGATATCTGAAGAACATGATTATGACTATATGTTGTCGAAGGCTTTCACGGCCGGAGTTCATTAGTTGCTGTAGATTTTCTGGGTTGTGTGGCCGTGGTCTTGGCATTGTAGAACCTGCCATTTCGCCAGTAACTGTGACTGGCATCCTCAGAGGTATAATACAGAAAGATGGAGTACTCTCTGTGTCAAGGTGACTCTTCCACATTTTCTCTTCTCCAGGCTAAATGCATCCAGATCCTTCAACCTTTCCTTATACAACTTTTTTTCTGAACCCCAGACCATCTTTGCTGCCCTCCTCTGAACCTGTTCCATTTTGTCTAATCTTTCTTAAAGTGCAGCACCCAGAACTGGACACAGTTGCCTCAGCTAAAGTCTGCCTAATATGTTGTAGAGTGAAACTATTCTTTTCCCATGGCTTGGGTACTGTATTCTTAGTCAAACAAAACAAAACTGCAATAATCTGCTTTGCAGCAGTACCACCATACTGCCAGCTCATGCTCTGCTTGTGATCAGTTGTGATCCTTTGTTCATGAATTAGTGCCAAGCCAGGTATCCACCATCTTGTAAATATGTGTTTGTTTCTTTTTGCTTAACTGAAGAACTTGCATTTGTCTCTGTTGACTTTCATTTTGTTTCAACCCAACTTTCCAAACTGTCAAGATCAATAAGTACCATTAGGATGGACTGTCACTGGAAGTGACTTCTGGGATTCTCTTGGATATTGCCTTGATTTTCTTGAGAGGGGCAGATAGCTGAGCTGGCAGATGTGTACCTTCAGGAGTCCCGACTCTGAGATGATTACTGTGAGGGGAGGGGGATTGGAAATTGGCTCTGTGTCAAGGTGACTCTTCCACATTTTCTCTTCTCTAGGCTAAATGCATCCAGATCCTTCAACCTTTCCTTATACAACTTTTTTTCTGAACCCCAGACCATCTTTGCTGCCCTCCTCTGAACCTGTTCCATTTTATCTAATCTTTCTTAAAGTGCAGCACCCAGAACTGGACACAGTTGCCTCAGCTAAAGTCTGCCTAATATGTTGTAGAGTGAAACTATTCTTTCCCCATGGCTTGGGTACTATATTTTTAGTCAAACAATACAAAACTGCAGTAATCTGCTCTGCAGCAGTACCACCATACTGCCAGCTCATGCTCTGCTTGTGATCAGTTGTGATCCTTTGTTCATGAATTAGTGCCAAGCCAGGTATCCACCATCTTGTAAATATGTGTTTGTTTCTTTTTGCTTAACTGAAGAACTTGCATTTGTCTCTGTTGAATTTCATTTTGTTTCAACCCAACTTTCCAAACTGTCAAGATCAATAAGTACCATTAGAATGGACTGTCACTGGAAGTGACTTCTGGGATTCTCTTGGATATTGCCTTGATTTTCTTGAGAGGGGCAGGTAGCTGAGCTGGCAGATGTGTACCGTCAGGAGTCCCGACTCTGAGATGATTCCTATGAGGGGAGGGGGATTGGAAATTGGGCTTGGCAGTTCAAGTTCTTGTGGCTGATCTGGTCTCTTCCCAACAGATGGCCGAGACCTTCAAGTAACTGAGAGAAGATTCAACATGGCAAGTAAGTGATCCTCCCCTCATAGAGACCAGGTTATGCTTTTTCCTCTTCCTGGGATGAAGGGTCAATGAATAGGACAGTAAGGTAGAATGGGTTTTTGAGACAATGGCTCCTGCAAGACAGAATGCTGAAATCTGCAGCCTGAAAAATTAAAAGTATATAAGCCAACTAAACACAACTCATTTGTGAAACGACATAGAACAGGGTTTGCTAAATCTTAAAAAATGAGAACTACTTCTGGGTAATGAAAAGCACCCCAAGCTGCTAAAACATATAAGATGTAGAAATTTGATATGAATATTAAATTTTATTCCTTCCAGCCACCTAACTAAAGGTTAGGCTGGTTCCAGTTCTCTTTGTACAGAGAAACATGGCATGTGTGTTGACTGAGCTGTTATAGATTTTGACCTTAATGGTATAGAATCTTGAACACGGTAGGGCTGAGAATTTCATTTCTAGTTGTTTAGTTAGATCTGCAAGCATGTGTTGCTCACTGTTCTCATTGTCCCAACCTTGAGAAAGATAGTTTATGAATAAATGGCTCCATGCCCAGAATAAATTCAGAATGAGCAGAACACAATTTGAAACAAGTATTACTTGGGAAAGTGTCATTCCTCACCCAGAGGTGTCATACATCATGCCTTCAGAGGAAATGAATTAGATGGTTTAATAAAGTCATGTGAGGTTCATGTAATTGGGCCTGTATTAGGGTTGCCAGCTCTGGATTGTGAAATTCCCAGAGATTTTGGGGGTGGAACCTAGGAAGGGCAGGGTTTGGAGAAAGGAGAGACCTCGGTGGAGTATAATGCCATAAAGTCCACCTTCCAAAGCAGCCATTTTCTCCAGGGGAAAACTGGTATCTTTTACCTGGAGACCTGCTGTAATTTCTGGAAATCTCCAGCCACCACCTGGAGGCTGGCAATGCCAGCCTGTTATAAGGGAGCCACACACCCCTAATACTCTTGAATCTCTTAGATTTGGTTTGCAGTGAGACTATTTTATCTTTTCTGAGAATGCTCTGGGAAGAATCTTAGAAATTGTATTTAGTCTTTTAAATTTAACATAGAGAGGATAAGGGATAACATGTATGGTTTTTAGTTTCTAATTTCCTTGACACATGCTAGCCTTTTTTGTATGATTGTGATTCTTTTTTATTTAATCATTTCAAGAGTGATTAGACTGATATTAAATAAAAGTCTTTAAAATATAACATTTGAGTAATTTTTGGCTGAGATACAAGGTTTTCACAAGGTATTTTCATAAACCTTTGACCACTTTTCAGTCAGAGGGCTGATTACCTGTCAGAGATTGATAATCAGAGAGATTAATCATCTTAATACAGCCTTGTGGTTAATGTTTTGCCTTAAATCACTTTGTTTCCATGTGTCTGTTTTAAAAGTAATACTTTCCCCACAAATGGGATAAAACTGTAACATAGCCTTCTTATGTCTTTGAGTCTCACAAGGGAATTCTCTCCTGTGGTATTTTCCTGGGTCTTCTAGGGGTTGCGCAAGATACTCTTCAGCTGATAGCGAGCTGCAGGGCGCTTGCAAGCTACCTGTTGGAGACCCCTGATACAGAATATTTGACATAATAAACCAGTCCAAATCGTAGTCTGCCTTGCGACCCTATGAACACTTCCCTGGGAGAAAGCCCCATTTAGTACACCTGGGTGACCTGTTTAGGATTCGCCCCCTAGCGTAATGGCTGGGAATAGGCTGACTAAGCCCCCCGTTGGTGGCAGGGGATCCCTCACTGCTAGTGAGTGCTTCTCGTCACCATTCAGCTGGCCGGCAGAGGGGGAAACGGTGGGAAATCGAGAAAGATGTTGACAGTGTCCCAATGCACTATCACCCCTTGTGCACCCAGAAATGATGTCAGCACATCACAGGGGGTGGGCGCCTTGGCATTTGGGCAAAACTTCATAGTGAGTCAAAAATACCACGGGGCATGCAGGAAGTGATGTCAGCACATTGTTGGTGAAAGCTCCCCCATCAAGGTAAGTCTCCCACTAGTTGCTGAGGCGACCTGGCAACCCTAGCTGGGAACAGTGAAGGGAGAGAAAGGAACTGGACTTGGGCTGGGAACATCTGGGGCAGGTGGACACGTAGGACTTCAGCGGTTCAGTCGGCTGTCTCTGGGCCAACCTTGACTCATGCCTGGCTTGGTGGCCCATGTCTCTGTGCTGAGGAGCAAGGGGGGCTTCTGTTTGCATCTTCTCATTTGTGCCTTGCAGCCTTTCTGGCAGCCCAGAATGCCCACTCTGTTCTCAAGCGCTTCCCTCGAGCCAATGGCTTCTTGGAGGAATTCCGGCAGGGCACCATCGAGCGGGAGTGCGTCGAGGAGATCTGCAGCTATGAGGAGGTCAAGGAGGTGTTTGAAAACAAGGAGAAGACGGTATGTGGCTGCAGAGGGAGGGAAAGGGCTGAGCTGTGGGGTGGTGGATTGCAGTGGGCAGTTGGAAAGGTGTCACTTCTCTCCTTGCCAAGCAGCTGAGGCTTAGCTTCTCCTGTTCCATTCACAGAGATTAGTGTTTCTTTAGATTCTTTATCAGCCTTTCTCTTTCCTCCTCCTCCGGAAGAAGAAGAAGAAGAGAAGAAGAGATTGGATTTATACCCCGCCCTTCACTTGGAGTCTCAGAGCGGCTTACAAACTCCTTTCCCTTCCCCTCCCCACAACAGACACCCTGTGAGGTGGGTGGGGCTGAGAGAACTCTGACACAACCTGCTCTTTTTCAAGGACAGCTGTGCCAGAGCTTGTGACTGACCCAAGGGCACATCAGCAGGTGCAAGTGGAGGAGTGGGGAAACAAACCCGGTTCTCCCAGATTAGAGTCCGCGCACTTAACCACTACACCAAACTGGCTCTTTTGATGTGTGATCCGTTCTTCTGGTGGTATTTTACAAAGCAGTGGCAGGGGGCTCCAGTTTTGATTTTTCCCTGATCTAAATCCCTCCTCCAGCGGCTTTTGTGGTCACAGTGGGGAGTACAGACATTATGCAAGTGTATTTTTTATGACGTGTGGCGAGTAGCATCCTCAGGTGGTAATGTATGGTGCCATCCTAAGCAGAGTTACATCCTTTTAAGTCCAAGTGCTTAGGATTTATTTGTTTCCATTGTTCACAGTGGGAACCCAAAGTGGGTTACATTGTTTCTCTCTCCTCCATCTTATCTTCACGCCAACCCCATGATGTAGGTTAGGTTGGAAGCGTGTTCCCCAGCAAGCTTCCAAAGCAGCAGAGGGGGGGATTCAAAGCCGGGTCTCCTGGGTCCTAGTCTGACGCTCTGACCACTCTCCCACACTGATGTAACTCAGGATCATGAAAATGCTGCACGTGAGGGAAAGATTTGTGCTTCTTCACCTGATGATATTGCTCCACTCAGAATCTTAGCCACTCCATGCCTTTAAGCAAAACGAAAAAAAAAGGGCTCTTCCTGTGTCACATTTGATTTGGTGTAGTGGTTAAGAGCGTGGACTCTAATTTGGGAGGAACGGGGTTGATTCCCCACTCTTCCACATGCAGCTGCTGGCATGACCTTGGGTCAGTCATACGTTCTTTCAGAGCTGTTCTCTCAAGGGCAGTTCTCAAAAGAGCTCTCTCAGCCCCACCTACCTCACAGGGTGTCTGTTGTGGGGAGGGGAAGGAAAAGGAGTTTGTAAGCCGCTCTGAGACACCTTTGGGTAGTGAAATAGTAGTAAATCCAATCTCTTTCTCTCTTCTTCTTATTCATGCTCTTGCTGGTCCCAATCTGGGCTTTGGTAGATGCAAGGCTGATTTCTGGTTCTGTGGCACACTTGAGTGGTTGTGGTCATTCCAGGGGATCTATTCTGGAAACAAAAGCAGCATAGAAAACAAATCCCACCCTATGAACCAGGGCTATTTTTGGGCAGGAACGCACAGGAACGGAGTTCTGGCTGGCTCCCGAGTTGGCCACACCCAGCAGGAACTCATTAGCATAATAGGCCACACCCAACAGCAGAAACTCATTAGGACTGGCTACATTAGGGGTGTCTGGCCTAACATGCAAAGGAGTTCCTGCTATAAAAAAGCCCTGGGTTTTGACAACAAACAAGGTAAACAGAATAAGAAGCAAAAGGTGGGTGTGGCTGGATGACCACACTTCTGCGAACATGGGGGGTGTGTCCTAATAAGCAAATGAATTTCTGCTGTTGGGTGTGGCCTATTATGCTAATGAGTTCCTGCTGGGGCTTTTTCTACAAAAAAAGCCCTGCTATGAACAATATGGTTGTGAAGATAAAGACTTTGTTTATTATGGTTATTTAATTCTTTAGCCTTTGTGCCATCTTTCAGTGTCCCAGATCGGCTGTGGTGGTCCATGTAAGAAGATGGGGTTGAGGTGATGGGTAGGGAGAAACCTGCTGCTGCAGGCTCGGGCTTGGGGTGGACGACATCATAAAACAGTGGTCACCGCTTCCCTGCTTGGTGACTTGTTGCTGGCTAGGAACCCTTCGCTTCTGCTCCCACAATGCTCTTGGAAACGGCCACTGACTTTGTCCTATCCCCAGGAAGTCGCCCGTGGAAGGCACTGGGACCTGCCAGAAGGGCTTTTGTTGACCAGGGGATTTGTTTCATTTTCCCATGCAGATGGAGTTCTGGAAAGGTTACGCCTACTCCGTCAAGGATCCCACCGAAGGCACCGGCCGCTCAGATGCCATGTACGTTGTAGTGCCCTTATTGGGTGTCGCTCTGCTTATAGTCATTGCCCTGTTCATCATCTGGAGGTGTCAGCTCCAGAAGGCCACGCGCCACCGTCCTTCTTATGCCCAGAACCGCTACTTGGCCAGCCGAGGAGGCCGTAGCATCCCCAGGGTGATGGTGTACCGAGAGGCCTCGCACAGTCAAAGTGAGGCCCATTGCCAGCGGGACCCAGGCAGCAGAGGGGCTTGCAATGGCCGATGGGGCCTCGGGTCGGCCAGCCACCCAGAGAGCACCCTACACCCCCCCGACCCTTCCTCTTCTGCCCTGATGAGATTGTCAAGCGCGACCCCACCGCCTTCATATGAGGAAGTGACCGGGCATCCTGAGAACAGCAGTGGTGAGGAGACCAGCTTGTCCTACAGTGACCCGCCACCCAAGTACGAGGAGATTGTGGCTGCCATTCCTGGCCCAGGGAAGTAGGAGGCTGGTGCTGCTCTCCATATTTATGTTTGACCAGAAGATGCCATCACGGAGAAGCCTTATCCTTCACACTCACCAAAAAAACTCCCGGCGATAGCAGATTCCATGAACGCCCCTCCCTTCTCCAGCAGGGGGTGCTGCAGAAATGGTCAAAGCTCCAGGGAGCTCAGCTTTCTAGTCTCCTGGGTATGCAGTTAGAGAAGGCAGAGGGAGGGTATTGACGCCCCCGGGTGCTCCAGCGTGGAAGGACTTCCTGTGAGAATACAACATGCTTGCCTTGGGGGCGGTTTAGGGATGTCACTCTTGGTGTTTGCCAAGGGGTAGCAATGTTCCTGTTCCCTCGCATGCTGTAAGAGGAGGTGGCTGGTTTTTTCACTGTGTAGGGTCTCCAGCAAGGGGTGTGACATTCCCCTGCATCTGTACCTGCTTCACTGCTCTCGCCAGAGCTCACCTGGGCTTGCTGAGTGCACACCTGTTGGGAGGGGTCTGGCTCTTGAGGGTCTGTGCATTTGGGTCTCAACAAGCTTTGGACTGGGCCTGTTTTGTGTCCTGGGAGGAGCGCCGGCCGGGGTGCACTTTGCTTCTCACTCGCTCACTGCCAAAGCGTGCTTGCCCTGGGATGTGTTTGACCACTTCGTATATGCGCTGGATGTGTGGCCGTGTGTACCATTTCCTCTTCCACCAAGCACAGCTTTGCACAACACAGGGAGTTGGTTTGGGGAGGGAAAAGAGCTGGCGCATGCGGCCTCTCACCACCCCTCCCTCCCTCACTTCCCACCACTCCCAACATTTTCCTTGTCTCGGGCCCCAGCAGGCAGAGGAAACTCTGGGTCTTGTGGAAGCAGCCCAAAGTGAAGCTCCTATTGGTGTGTCTCATATTCTTTGTGTTGATGGTCACCACTGTCTTGATGTCTCTGAGCAATCGTTCTGTGAAACTGTGGGGTGGGGGGGAGGCTTGCTATGCCTGTCTCTTTCAAGCTGCTGGATGAGACCAGCAATCTTGTTTTTGCCTTGAGTGAACCAAAGCCTGTTTCCCTGCCCCTTGTTGCTTAGCAGTGCATGTCTTCCTCCTTCCTCCTGTTCTTGTGGAAACTTGGAGCCTTGCTGGAAGTTCGGGGGGGGGGTTTTGCCTGTTCCTCCCCTGTGCTCTTCTGGAGCTTCTGCTCCATGTGTTGAGGATGCGTGGATCTGGACACTTGTAACAGTCCCCCAGCCAGCCCTTCTTGCTGGCTTCAAGCTTTGCTTCTAGACATATACCCAGAGGAAGAGATCATAGTGGGAAGGGGAGGTTTATGTGAAGCTGCCTTATTCTGAATCAGACCACTGGTCCATCAAGGTCAGTATTGTCTATTCAGACTAGCAGCAGCCATTCAGAGTCTCAGGTGGAGGTTTTTCACATCACCTATCGCCTGGTCCTTTTAACGGGAGATACTGGGGGTTGAACCTGGGACCTTCTGCAGGCAAAGCAGAGGCTTTTCCACTGTGTCACAGCCTGCAAGACCTTAGTGGCCTATGTCCAGTCTCCTGTTAATCTGAATAGAAAGAAAGGATGAAGCCACCTGTATTAGTAGTGAATCTTCTTCAGCTTAAACCTTCTTTTTTTTAGCTGAGCCTTCCTTCACTAGCTTTTTCTGTCTCCTGTCTTTCATTTTGGATATTTGGAATTGGCCACTGGAGCTCACTTAAGACAGGCCTTGCCCGTATCCTGTCAACAGACATGTTCTGCGAGTTCCATGCGTGGGGTTCGGTTCCCAGGTGTGTGCAGGCCCAGTTTGGATTGGGATTGTGGAAAGGGGGATTTAGCCTTCCTTGGTGCTTTTTCCTCCGCTGGAGACAGCACCCAGGGCCTGGGGAGCTGCTGTTTGCCCTACTGGAGACACATGTGGGTGGCTACATATAAGTTCCCACAGAGAGGCAAAAAGTGGTTCCGCCAGTTATTTCGAGTCTGGAAAATAACGCAGGCGAGGGAGGCTGTATCTCGCTCTACCTGGATGCTGCAGTTCTCATCTGAATGCCAGCAGAACCCATGGCAGAGGTAAGGACATGTCTGGTCGGCTCTTTCAGCTCTGCCTTGTCTGTTAGTTGCTGCACAATCCATCGTCTTTGTTTCTTTCTTAGCCGTTTCCCTCCATTTGTCTAGACCTTTCTGAGAAGGTGGTGAGCAGCCCAGAATAAGATATCGCTTTGGGTCCTGTGACATCATCTCCCTCGTACTTCTCTCCAGCTGCTGTGAAGGCTTCCCTCTGCTGCGGTACTCGTTTCCTCGGCCACTAGCACGTCTCTGTGTGCGTAAGGACTCCTTGAGAAACATTGATCCTGGGCACACGGAAGAGGGGAAAAGGACAGTAGTGGAGGTAAAGCCTCCACATCAGCCCCCGAGAAGCACAAGGATCCAAGCCACAGTCCCCTAGCGGAGGACTAGGCAGGGAGGTAATGATGCTTCCTTTCATGCTGCAGACAAATGGAGCCTGTCGTCTTCTGCAATGTGTCATGGCTGGCTCAGGCTCAAGGTGTGCTCAGTCTCGTCCCCCCCCCCAACACACTTCCTTCTCAACGGTGCTAATGCTTCGGCAGGTATTGCCAATGGTGTGTTTACCATATACATTGCTTTCTCCCCCCCTTTCCCTCCTTCGTAGATGCTTAAAGCAAAGTGTACATCATGTAACATGAGAAATGAAGTTATTTATTTATTTATCTATTTATTTATTGCATAGGGCCAACCCTGTGTCATGGGACTGACACAAACGAGTCAAGAGCAAACGGAAACCAGGCTTTTAAAAAGACTTGTGCTTGGGAGGATTCCCACCCTGCCCTACTGTGCAGACTCAGGGGAGGCAAAATATAAATCAGAACAGAGCAAGAAACAGAAGGCCGCAAAATGCCAGTCGCTCCTTTCCCTTCCCACCCTAGGTGAGGATTTCCCCAAAGTTGGGTGGGGGTGCAAAAAGACCTATGAACGTGAGGCAGCCCCTGTGAGCATCTCCTCAGGTGTTCTCGTGAATACCCCGCATGGAATGGTGGGGTTGCGGTCAGGATCCTGTTGGGGAAGGTCCTTCCATTAGCCTGGGAGGGGTGATGTCCACTGCTCAGGGTCCGTGGAAGCCAGAGAGGAAGGCTGGCTTCTAGTTGCCCGTCATGCTGTTTACAACAAAGAGTGCACATCGGAGCCTCGCCTGCCTCTCTGCCAGCATATTTTGGGCTCTCTTTTTGCCCCCCCCCGCTTCTTTTAGTCCTTCCCCCTTTTATGCTGAGAACAGCAGCATAAACACTAACCAAAGAAAGCTCTAAACCCCACCCTCCACTTTTTGGTTTGTAAAACCAGGAAGAACTGAAAAGTATTTTTTCACTGCCTCAGCCAAAGCCGCTTCCAAAACATAACAGAAAACCAGGCAAGCCATTTTGGTGATGCAGCTAGCTCTTTCATGGTCCATTCTTCAAGCATGGATGGCAGATGACACGCAGGCTAAATGTGGGAGTGACGCTGCTGGTAGCTTGGCTTTAAAGGTGCATGCGTGTTCTATAATTAAATTCCTAATCACCTTTTGACCCATTTCAGGCCTTCAAGGCAGCTTACCCAGAATGCTGGTGATAGTGACAGTGGGCATTTTGGGAGTTCAAGGACTTTGGCTGTGTTAAACCTCACAGTGGCCTAGTAAAAGAGGCCCTGTTGTTATTACAGTGATAATGCAGGTGAGGTGAGTAGGGATGCCAGCCTCCAGGTGGGACCTGGGGATCCCCTGGAATTACAGCTCATCTCCAGACTACGGAGATCAGTCCCCCTGGAGAAAATGGATGCTCTGGTTGGTGGACTGTGTGGCATTTTACCCCACTGAGAAGTCCCTGTCCTCCCCAGGCTTAGCCACCAAATTCCCAGGAGCTTCCCAACCTGGAGCTGGCGACCCCACCCCCATACCCTGCTGGCAGCTGGGGGGGACCTGGCAACCCTAGGTGAGGTTTGATCCGAGAGCTTCCTGGCTTTGAGCACAAGCAGTCACTCGACAGGACTTTTGAGTAAAAACATGTAAAATCGCATCCAAATAGATTGTGGGCCATGCATCTCTGCAGGCGTGGTCTTTGGTGAGATCTACTTGGAACATTTCAACCACAGGTTGGGTTTCTGCTCCTCGTGAGAATCCTGAATTTATGGCAGCAGTTCCTCGTGTGGTGTGCGCCTGGCATTTCTGCAGGGTTGACACCCATGCAGATTTCCTTGTGGGCGGACATTCCAAATGCGATCATGTGAGTTTGTTCCTGAGATGGAGAGGTGCAGCAGCGCTTCCTACAACTGCTTGTAGTGTTGAAAGCTTAACCTTTCCCCAAAGCTTTCTTCGAAGTCAGGCGGCTGGAAGATAGAATTGCCTCCAGGACATTCAGGCCTAAATCTCCCAGTGTGTGTCCACATCAGGTCTCCCACACCCACCCCATCCACTGTGAAATATGACAGTGAGCTGCTGGTCTGTGGCCTTTCTCGTATTCAGGCTTCTGGGCCCGCAGTGCTCTGAGCCTGCCCTGTTGTTGGTCTGTGTGGCTCCCTCTCTCCAGTAGTCTTTGCTGCCAGGAATGTCAATGACATGCCAGAGAATCTTGCTGGAGGACTGGCCAGAAAGAGGGGAATGCCTTGGCCATCCTCTTCAGCTTTCATGGTAACAAACCCTGCAGTTGATACTCTGTAAAGCCCAGTCTATTTCTGTGAAAAAGAAATTTATTAAAAAAACAAAACAGAAAAACACTTGCAGACTCATTCCGTGTAACGTCTTTAATTCATTATTATTTTTTAATTTCCAGCCCACCCTCCCCTGCATAGGAGGCTCAAGGCAGGTTACAACAATACATATAAAATAGTAATTTAGAGAACAAGAAGAAAAAGAGATTGGATTTATACCCCACCCTTCACTCGGAGTGGCTTACAAACTCCTTTCCCTTCCCCTCCCCATAACAGACACCCTGTGAGGTAAGTGGGGTTGAGAGAGTTCTTTCAAGAACTGCTCTTGAGAGAACAGCTCTGACAGAACTATGGCTTGCCCAAGGTCATCCAGCAGCTGCAAGTGGAGGAGTGGGGAATCGAACCCGGTTCTCTCACTTAACTCCGCGCACTTAACAACTACACCAAACTGGGTCTCATTTAGACATAGCCACAGACTGGCTCTAATTGAGACATAGACATAATATCATTAAAAGCCATATAAGACATCAATTAACATTAACCATTAGATTATCGTCTGCAGCACAATTAGTAACTAATCTCAGAAGGTTCTACGTATGTGTGTGACCATAGATAGTAGAATACTAAGGCAGGTGGGTGAATTGAATAGGGAAATTTGAAAGAATGCCAATAGAGCAGAGCAGGGCAAGGGAGGCCAATTCACGTGGACTGCTGCTGCCTCAGCCATAGGCCTGGCGAAACATCTTTTACAGGCCCTGTGGAACTGCATTAAGTCCTGCAGGGCCCAGATCTCTCTTGGGAGAGTGTTCCACCAGCTGGCGTCGGAGTCAAAAAGGTTCTGGCTCTGGTCGAGACTAAGTGGATCTCTTTTGGGCCAGGGATCACCAGGAGATGTTGATCCATAGAGCATAACGCTCTTTGAGGGGCATGGCGGAAGAGGCAGTCCTGCAGATATGTTGGTCCCAGACTGCATAGGGCTTTAAATGTTAAAACTAAAACCTTGAACTTGATCCAGCACTCAACTGGGAGCCAGTGCAACTGGTAGAGCACTGGATGTATATGGGCTCTTCATGATGTCCTGGTGAGGACCTGCACCGCTGGATTCTGGACCAGCTGAAGTTTCCGGGTCGGTCTCAAGGGTAGCCCTGTGTAGAGTGAGTTACAGTGATCCAGCCCAGAGGTGACCATCGCGTGAGTCACTGTGGCTAAGTCCCGGGGCAAGAGGTAGGGAGCCAGTTGCCTGGCCTGCCTAAGATGGAAAAAGGATGACCTGGCAACGTTTGTGATTTGGGCCTCCATTGACAACGAGGCATCCAAAATCACACCCGAGCTCTTCACCGTGGGTGTTGGTGTTAGCAACACCCCGTCAAGAGTTGGGAGCTGGATCCGCAATCCCGCAGCTCAGGCACAGGACCTCCTTAATCCTCTTGAGTTCTCAGTTGAGGAGTGTCTGTCCCATTTTTATCTTACCCTTCCTTCAAGTGGTGTTTACTGTTCTTCTTTCCATTTTAGGGTAGACTGAGGGGGGGGGGACGGACGGACCAGGCCCAAGGTGACACCCTGAGCTTCATAGCTGAGCAATGAATTGAACTAGGAGTTCTCTGTTGAAAGTGAAGTATTCTTGCCACTGGACTGCCCTGGCTCTCGAGTCAGCCTGCAGGGCTCAACTAGCTGAATTGTTTCTGTGAGAAATTCTGTGAGAAATAGCTCACCAACCACCTCCAGATGGGGCCTGAAGATCTCCTGGAAGTAAAACTGATCTCCAGACTGCAGAGATTGGGTCTCCTGAAGAAAATGGCGGCATAGAGGGTGGGGTGTATGGCATCACTTCCCTGCTTCGCTCCCTCCCCAGGCTCCACCCCTAAATCTCCAGGTATTTCCCCACTCAGCACTGGCAATCAAATCTCCTGAGATTTATTAAAGTTAAAAAGCAGCCACAGGAGTGCTTTGGATCAAGAAGGGGTATGTGTTAAATGGGGGGGAGGGAGGGCTCATCCTGTCTGCACAGTTTTCCTGGTTGAAATTGCCCCTCCCCCCAGTTATTACTCAGGAGGGGGGAAAGAGAGATCTGACCCACGCCCAGCTGTTAGTCACTGTGCTGGCTTCTTTTAGTCTCAGGGGCAGAGTTCATGGTGTCTTGGAAACTTATTCCTTTATTATTTTATTTAGAAAACGTAGGTGCTGCCTCTCCAGAGATTTGTTCGATGGGGCTCACAACTACAACAGCACAGCCCAACAAACCAAGCCATTAAAAACAGCATAAAACAAACACTGAGCAGCCTGAAGAGATAGAAGCAGACCATAAGCGGTTTTAAAAAGATTTTATTGATGTTATTTATAGTCTTCCTTTCTCACTGAGACTCAAAGCAGATTTACACAATGTAAATCAATTCAGTCAATCAGATGTTACGTCTAATAAGCAATGTAATGGGACTAGGAGTCGTAGAAATTAGAAATGGAGCTGTTGTCTGGACAAAGCATAAGTATTAAACACAGCATGGTAGTTCATCGGTAGAAACACACTGCATTTTCCTGGGCCAGTCCATTGTGATGTAGCCCCTATTTCCTTTACAAAAATGCTCTCCTGAACAATTCTGTTTCACATAGTTTGCAAATTGCCAGGAGTGTGGGATTCTTCCTCACCTCACCTCACCTCACCTCAGGCAGGCCATTCCACAGGGTGAGGCCACTACAGAGAAGGCATCTGTATGAGCAGTCGTTCTTGCCCGTTTGTATGCTAGAACCTGCAGGAGGCCCTGCTCAGGTAAGTGGTTGCAGAGGCACGTGGGTGGAGAGGTGGTCTTGCTTTGGCAGGGGGGTATTTTCTGGGCTAAACTAATTTTTTTTTGGGGGGAATCGAGGTTGTGTTCATTTGCATCCCCAGCAGTAATGCTGAGTCAATTATAGCCCCTAGGTGCTTCACCAAGACAGCAAGGGTCAGCTGAACCCCAGCAAAAGTGGGAAAGCATTTCAAATCTTAGGCTTCCCAGCTAGTGCTACTTCCATCTTGTCTGGGTTCAGTTTCAATTTGTTCGCTTTCAGTCATTTAACCACAGCAGTCAGGCAGTGGCTGAAGACCTCTGCCGTATCACCAGGGGATTTGGATAGAGATACAGAGCTGGGTGTCATCGCCAGCATATTAATCACATCCATTCCGAAGCTACAAATGATTTCTCCTAAAGGCTTTACACAGAGGTTGAATAACATGGGGGTGGGGTAAAATTACACCCTGTCAAACCCTGCAGGACAGCTCCCACTCTGAAGATAACTGATACCCAACGTCAACCTTTGAGTCCGATCTGTGAGCAGTGATTTAAAACCAGTAAAAGGCACATCCTCTGATCTCTCCTTTTGCGACCAAACACCTCAACAGGACGGGATGATCTGCTGCATCAAAGGCTGCCGATAAATCCAGTGGGAGCAGCACAGAAACATGGCCTTTGTCTACATGCAGACGGAGGTCATCAACTAAAGCCACCAGAGCCATCGCTGTCCCATAGCCTGGCCCGAAGCCAGGCTGAAAAGGGTAAGGGGCAAATGAATTATCCTGGAGCTGGTCTGCTACTGCTCTCTCAATCACTTTGCCCAAGAAGGGCAGATTAGAGACTGGTTGATAATTGGCCACATCGGTTTTCTATAGGAGAGTTTTTATTTTAAAGTAGTGAATGGATAACTGCCAAGGAAAGGTGGCATGGGTTAGTGACTGATTTATGGTAGACATCAAGGGCTCATTTGTGTGGCTTTTACATGATTTCAGCAGCCAGGATGGGCAAGGATCCAGGGCACAAGTCCTGGCCTTCAGAGATCCCAGGATCCTGTCAACATCCACCATGGTAACTTGGTGAAAGTGGTCCATAAGCAGAACAGATGATGTGTTAGGCATTTCTTATGCCTGGCTTATATTACAGCCAACATCCCGATCAAAGTATATTTGTGTTATTTTTATCAGCAAAAAACTTTGCAAAACTCATTGTCTGCTCTTGAGACAACAAAGGCTCACATTTAGAAGTCAGCAGATTAAACTAATGGGATGGTCATGAAATAAATTTCTTTGACACAGTCACTGCCACCTCATAGATCTTCAAATGGGCTCTACAAATGGAATCCCTTTCTTAAAAGCCTAGAAATGTTTTGCCCTGATGCCTAAAACACTGTAATTTAGGCACATGACGAGCCTCAAAGGAGAGGGCATTATATAAGAAGAGCCCTGCTGGATCAGACCAGGGGTCCATTTAGTCCCAGCATCCTGTTCCACACAGTAGCTGACCAGTTTCCCTGAAAGGCTAAAAAACAGGGCCCAGAGGCCATCTCCTGGTGCTGCCTTTTAGAATTAGGTTTTAAAGGTCTGAATGTGAAGATTCCCTTTATTCATCCTGGCTACTGGCGAAGTGCCACCACAGAAATGCCCTGGCTTTGGTCACCACCAGCCTCAGCTCTGTAGCAGGAGCATAGAGAGGAGGGATTGGGAATTCCATCTTGACTAGCAGGCTGGATGGTAGAGCTGGAGGTAATTCTTCAAGTCCCCATTCCCAAGATTTGAATTCTTCCTGGAAACAGATGGCCGGCTGGTGGATATCTTTCAGCACAGGGTTGATCTGATTCCTGTATCCCTGACCCTAGCCTGGCTGCTACATTTTGGACCCACTGTGGTTTCTTGACACTTTAGACTGCTGTGAGTCGTGAATTGATTGGGTCCCACGTGAGATTATATCCTAGGGCTAAAATGGATGGGATGCAGAGTTGCAGACTACAAAAGTATCTATGGTGGGGAGGCACTTAACCATTTTTCCTTTGGCCTTTTCCCCTGGCTCATCTCCCCAGCTGTCTTTCTACGCAGCTTTTGTCTAACACTCAGCTGAAACCCTTTCATGAGAGGGAGGGTGAGACATTCTCCTTTCCACCATGTTATCCTCACAACAACCCTGTGAGGTAGGTTAGGCTGAGATAGTCAGAGAGAGATGCCAAAGGTAACCCACTGTTCTTCATGTCTGAGTGTGGATTTGAACCCGGATCTTCCCGCCGGAGTCCAAAATACCACACTACACATACAAGGATTGATGCTGTAAGCACGTGCATAGTGCCTTTCCTTTGCAGTTGAGCGACTCCACTAGGAAAGAGCTGTTTCTTTTATTATTTAAAAAATGAGCGGAAATGAGACAGGCCGGAGTCAACAGGTGAAGCTTCTCCAGTAGTGAACTGAAGCGAAGGGCCTCGGGTCGCCTTTTGGCCCCTGGTACTCTGGCTGTCTCTCGGCCTCTCGCCTTGGAAGTCAAGCCGGCGGCGCTTCTGGCGGGGGCGGGACTGCCGCCGCCGCTGCCAGCCAATCACGTACCTCAGCCCGGCAGCGACTGACGTCATGGACGGCCGATGAAAGGGGCAGCGAGCTGTTGACGGAGTTGCAAGGTGCGTAAAAGTCCCATTGAGAAGTGGGGGGAGGGAGGGGCTGGGCAGAGGCGGATTAGCCAATATCTGGGTGCGAGTCCGGAGGGGCGGATCTGGTTCAGGGAAGGGCATGGGCCGCCTTCCCACCACACACACACACTCGAGGACTGCCTCAAGGGCAGGACTGCCTCTGTGCAACTCTGCGACCTCCCCCCTCTCCATCGCCCACCCCACCTTGGGCAAGGAAGAGTATGTTAAAAGGCTTTATTTGTTGCCATCGGCAACAGTCCAGACTTCCAGTCAGGGTCTCCCACTCTCCAACAAGCTTGGAGAAAAATGGCCTGGCTCGTCATTACAGGGTTAACGTGTGTTGAAGTTTTTTCATGCCATGGAGGTAAATAACATCCCATGAAGCTTATGTCGAACAGACAGGATTGGCCCCCCCACTACTGTTCCCTCTAAACTGAGTTCGTGTGAGCTAGCTCACAGTTTTTTAGCCTCCGGCTCACACATTTT